TCACACCCAGCACCTTGAGCACTGAGGTCCTTTACCAGACACCGATGGCACAGACTCAGCACTGTGCTCTTACAGACCCAACCAGGAAGGTTCCAGAACTCCCGACTATAGCCTCCCTGTAGATACAACCTGGTCTGGCCGTGAATACGAATCTGCTTGCTTTTAGGTGGAAATGAGACTTTAAAGGGGAGGGGCAACACTCTCTCTCTCTCTCTCTCTCTCTCTCTCTCTCTCTCTCTCTCTCTCTCTCTCGGCAGATCAGTTACAGTGAGGCACAAGAATCACCTGGCCCCTTTAGGGCAGTGGGCCTGGGTGGTAGAAGGATCAAGGATGCCAAACAACCCTGGGGGTGCTGGGAAGGCTCTAAGGAAGTACCCCCAACCCTATGAATGGCATTCTACTAGTAAAATAGGGTGGGAGCCTTGTCGTGTAACACCCAGGTGATCCTAAATGCAGCCTCTCATTGGGGGGCTAGGGTGGATCCTGGGATTCTAAGCACCAATATTCCTGAAATGAAAGAAACTTTGCCTGTTTGCTCCAGCATGCTCTACCCACCTCCCCATGTATAAACTATGAGATGTTAAAGGGCATTGGATGTTTTTCCACAACAGTCTGGAAAATACTGGGTTACTCTGTGAAGACCCATGTATAGCCCAAACTCAGCCCCACAGTGACTTCCTATTGACGTGACATCAATTGGGAACGACAGACTGGCTGGCCCAAGAGAATTTACTCCCCTCCCTTGGGAGAGCCAGAACAGTTCACGTTTCCTGTGTTGGGAGAGAGGCGTATCTGGAAACTAGCCACATCAGCAGTCAGCGTTTTGTTCTATAGTGAAGGACATGAAGGAGAAATGTCACCCAAAGGCCTAAGAACAACCACAAAGGAGCTCCAGGCAACACTCATCCTAAGGAAAAATGCTCACAGTAAGATAGGACGTGAGCAAAGGTGATCGGGGCATCAGAACAGCAGGCTCTCGGACATCAAGCAGCAGGGCCTTTGCATCCTCACCGTTTCAACTATGAAAACCCTGTATGAAGAGCAGCTGACAACACTCAAATCCTGTCCACTCAACAGCACCACCTTTCACCTCAGCCTCCAAGAATGCAAACACAAAACACCTCCAACACTTGTGAGCAATTTAAACCCACGAAGATCAAGAGTCAGTCCAGAAATTATTTGGTTTTAAAATATTTATACGACAATAAGTCACTTGAAATATCAATGTATCTTTTAAGAACTCACCCAGAATGCCCATTTTTATAAAAATTAATAATCCCCAGCTACTTACCACAGACTGACTTATAGAACACTTATTTCCAGAGCAACAGGGAAAACAGACAGGAAGCACGCATGCGTGCGCGCGTCCACACAGACAGACAGACACATACACACACTCACAGAAAACACCATTCAAGGCTACCCTAGGAAAACGACCCAGTGCCATCACCAGAAGGCAGCAGGGGACCAGCAGCCTATTGATTCAAATTTAAAGGACGGGCTGAACCCAGGTGTCCTCATAGAGGTTCCTGTGTTCTCACTTCCGGCCCTCTGCATCACAGCCAGCTGGAATTCTGGCAGTGCAAGAATGAATACAGGTCCCCTGGGGAACAGTGCCTGCTGCCCCCAGAGAAAGACAGTGAGCATAAAAAGGAGTCTCAGTTTGCTGCTCCTGCTTCTAAAGGGTCAGCAGGTGCTGGTAACACTGCCCATCTCAACAATTTTCAAAATGCAGAAAAATGAGGTCCAAAACCTAACTTAAAAATGACAGGAGACAAGTTCTTGGCTGTAGTCAGTCTCCCCTAAGATCCTGTCCTCAGATTTCTAGAAGACAACCAGATCTGCACACCCAAGGATTCCTGCAAGGGAAGCCCTGAAGCATCTGCAATCTTAACCCAGGCTGCTGTTTGTGCAGCTGTAGCCAGTACCTCTGTGAGCAGTGAGTGTGCAAACTACCTGGGTTAGCAGGCTTGGTCAGTGGTGCTTCTCTATGCTCGGAAACCCGCCCCAGATTCCAGCATCAGAGAAGTGTCTCTTGAACCCTCAAAACCTCAAGAAGAAAGGACTCAGCTTTCACGAGAGATGCAAAAAGGGCCACATGGGAACAGAGGAGCTCTACCCTGCTCCTCTCATTTATACTGACCTAAAGAAGATATACTAATTACTACTACAGAGTTTAGACACTTGGTCTACAACTCAGGAGTTGGCAGGGCAGACAAATGCTCAAGCAGTATTTTGGGTTTTCAGATGGCGTGACCTCTCTGGCACCCACCCAACTCTGCTACTGTACTGCCAGCACGGTCACAGATGTAGACAGACAGCATGGCTGTATCCCATTAACTCTTCATCCACAGAAACAAGAGGTAGGCCACAGTTGGCAGTACCTGGTTTAGATCTAGACCTCGGTCTTCTGTACAGAAAGACATCTCCTGAAGGACAAACTGCCATCAAGGCATGAAGACCCTTGAACGTCACAGAAGAAAAGGAGCCAAGATCCTTGCTCGGAAACCTAAGATAGGCATCCACCACAAAGCAGCTGAAGGGAGCACAGGGTGGCCCAGGGCGGGCAGGCTCCTGGAGACAGTGCCCAAGGCGTCTTGTAATCCGTGCCTCAAGTAGATGGACTGGCCCACAAAGACAAACACACTTCACCCAGCCTGTTTTCCACTCTACTCTCAACAAGGCTCTAAGCAGCTGCCTTCTCCTGTATAGTGAGGTCAGAAAAAAGATCCCTCGAGAACAGAGCCTACCTGACTGGAGATCCAGCACCAACCAGAGGCCTCCTGTCCTCAGTTCATAAAAATGTACTTTGAAGAAAAACATTTATTTTTACCAAATATTGCTGAGCCTGTGCATTATGCAATCTTTTCCTTTTCATGTCAAAAACTCACACTGGCTTGTCTCCAGAGACCTGGGGGGCCAAAGACAGGGCCCAGAGACCAGGTCCACAAACATCTATGTCAACTTCCATGCGACAGTAAGACCTGCCACCATCTCGCTACAGAAGCTACAGCATTAGCAGTGACATCGCTGGAAACGTGGATGAAACCTTTATAGTAATGACCTCAGGAGCCTCACCCGCCAGGCCAACGCTGCCACATTCCCACTTCCAGTTGGAGCCTATGTTTCAGACAGGACCCAGCCACTGAAGGCTGAGTGTGGAGCTGGCTTCCCAGTGGAGACAGACTTGCTGGTGCTGAGGAAGTCTTGGTAACATTCCACACATGCCTCTGCTTTCTCACAGATGTGTGTCCTTCCAAAACAGTCACTGTCCGCTTGGGAAATGTCACAATAGAATCAGAAGACTGACAAGGTGTAAAGATTTATTTGGGGGCCAAAATGAAGACGCAATCATGAGTTGTTGGGCTTACCATTTGCTAATCCAAACACGGGATAAGCAGACACCTAACTAAGCTCAGAGTTAGCATAATATTAAGCTCTGATGGAGCCCAAGGCCAAATATCCTACATTCAAGGACAGTGGAGGTCACTTCAGTGCCACAAAGTAGAAGAGTGAGCAGCAAAGAATGAGCATCACTGTTCTCAAAGAGCTTTGTCTATGGCCAAGAACAGCCAGGAGGCATTTCCCTTCTCTACTGCCCTTGGGCTGCTGGAGGTAGACAGGATGGCTTGCTGTGTCTTACTTTGTGTCGAGAGTCCAACAGGCAAAGACACGGCCTTGCCAGGGGTTGGCCTGCCTCACAGACTTGCCCCAGTGGGAGCTCTGATTGCATGGGAGTCTTGGGATTACGGCTTTTCTCTGTGAATGCTCTCCTCTCTGCAGCCAGGCTCTAGGTGAGTCCAAAGCCTCCGCGCCTTGGTGCTGATTCCTCACAAAATACACCTCAGATCCAGCAAGATCTCTACTTTAGACAGAAATATGTATGTCAAGCCCATTTACCATCCAAATGTGTTATGGTCACAGTACTTTACTGGGCCAGGTCTTGGAGCAGTTTCTCAGCTTGGACACTGCTTTGTGGACCTGATCATTCATGTGCGGCGCAAGGGAGGGTATTTTGCTGGCTTCTACTCTCAAAATCCCAGGGCCCTGACACACAGAAAAATCTCCAAAGATTGTCAGATATTTTGAGAATCAGGGCATCCCCATGTATGCATTGGGTTCTGTCTATATAGGAAACACAAGACCCATAGAGGGATTTCACATGACTACTAAATGTCACTAAGTAGAAAAAAAATATTACCAAGCATTTCTGATTTTGGCTCTACCATCAAAAAAGCTTTCTGCATCACCAACCCTGTGCGGTTTCCTGAGGAAGGGCCACAGACAACTTCCTAGAAAGCCTCAATCCTCTGAGCCTTAGCTCCATCAAACCAGGCCTCTCCTCAGAGCTCACCTCATGCCAGCACCAGTACTGAACAGCACTCGAGACACTCACCGTGCTCCCCAGGGTGATATCCATGCCAGGGTATCTGAAAGATCCCTACAACAAACCAAAATCAGACCTGGGGCCTGTGTTCTCCATCTATCACACAGAAGGCAGAAGGGAAGTCCCTCAGAGACCACCCACAGCCCCTGAAGTGCTGGTTCTGAGCCGGTTCACTCTGGCAGCACAGGCTAAAGAGCCAAAGAACCAGGCTATTAGCCAGGAACCCACATGAAGGCCAGCTTGCCCAAGCAGGAAGGGTCAGCATCTCACAGATGAGAAGAATGCTTTGCTAGTCCGAAGCCTGCAAAACGAAACCCATTACTAACCAACGTCTTTCACTCTGCTGTACACGGAACAGGCAGAGGGCCGTGAAATGATGTCGGATTAAAAACATGGCTATTTTGTGGAAAACCTGCTACTTGTTTTCATAAAATAAAGTGCTATGACATACTACCCTCATGTTACATTCTCATGATTTTACCTTTACTACCACAAAGAAACACGCAAGCGGCTCTTGAGCCGGAAAGCACCTCTTTCTCTACACGATTTCAGAATTAACACCAACGTATTTCAACAGAGAAAAAGATACCAAACTTGGATGGATGGCATCCCCTGGATTTTAACAGCTGAGTCCTTTATTTAGGATGTAGTGGGCCACCACAGAAGCCACTAGACTGCAACAAAGCATCTCCTATTTGGTTTGATGTATCTACATCTCTCCAGTGGATCATAACAGTTTCTTTTTTTTTCTATCAAATGACCAGTGTTAGTATGAAAAATACTCGAAGATCCAGGTGATCGCCCCAAAGCTTTGAGAACACGGGAATGATCTCCGGCATCTCTGGACCCTTTTGTCCCATCCTCCATCACAGCTGCTCTTCATCTTCCTCCTCCTCCTCATCCTCCTCCTCTTCCTCCGATGCATGGCTCTCAGATTCCTCTTCTTCTCTATCCAAGAGCTTTTTAAAAACCTCAAACTCCTTGGCAGAGGAACGTGCTGTCCTGGCCAAAAACTCAGCTTCAGAAACCCTGAGAATGTCCTTCAGTAAAGGGTTAGGGATCTGTGTCTGTCCCTTCTTATCAGGGGTTTGGTACCGTCCAAGACGTTCCAGGTACATGTGTCTCTGCTTGATCTTGGTTATTGAATACTGTAAGAAATCATTCTTGACTATGTCCAGATGCTTAAGTCCCATCCTAAAATATGCATACTGGAAGACACAAACATGTTTAGGAATCTATGTAGAGAACCTCAAAGCCTATCGTTCAATTCAAAACAAACTTTAGTCCAAAAACATTAGAAAAGAATTGCCTGTAGCTACTCTCTAATACCAACACTTGTATGAAGTCTGACAGTTTTCAAAGCATTTCAAAATTCATGCTGAGAAAAATGCTGCAGAAAACAAATGGGTGTGTTAAGTTTTTCTTTAAACGGGAACAAAAATTATGAGTATAGAAAAATCCAACCCAAAGATGCTTTGGAATTTTAAAAAATGTGAGTGCACAATTATTTGAGTATGTTACAGAATGCTTGTGAAGGCCAAAGGCCAGCCTAGGTGGTTTACAAGCCTCCAGGAATTTGCCTGTCTCTACCCCACAACTCCCCACAGGGGTGCTGGGGCACTGCACATTCAATTTTGACAGGTCCCCAGAATCTGGTCCTCATGCTGGCACAAGGGTTTTCATTTGTCTGTCTGTTTTGAGGCAGGGTCTCTACATAGCCTTGGCTGGCCTTAAACTCAGAGGTCCACCTGCCTTTGCCTCCTGAGCTAAGATTGAAGGAGTGTACCACCCTTCCCAGCTGCACAGAGCTTCTGACCTTACCTGTCACATCTGCTGCCACATTCTCCAAACCCCCACTCACTCTAAGGGTGGGAAAGTTTTAGCTTTCTCAATAGTAGTTATTTCAGAGTACCTACTTGGACCTGGAATGGGGCCAGGTCCCTCTCTGTCAAGGAAGTAAAGCGGAAGGACAGGTTTGCTTTGTGGGGAGAAAAGAACTGAGCTGTACTGTTCTAGAACAGAAGCTCTGAGCTCTACTCAGAGGCTTCTTGTCCACACAGCTGACCTTACTCAACTTAAAAATCTGAAGTCAAGAGTCTAGTCACTCATTCTCACCTGGAATTTGTACTCTAGCTCACTGGGGTCTGCCTGAAGAACGCCTGGGCACCTGTGCAAAAGCTCAGTGATTTGCTGTGCTGTGAACATGCACTTCTCCTTGAGGACCCTCACAACACCATCAATGTCCCGCTGGCGCATGGTGAAAACCTCAGGGCAACTGTGCAGCACTCTCTTCAGTTTCCCTGTAGGATATTAAGAAAAGGAAAGCATGTAACTTCAGGTATTCTGGAAAGCCAAGGGCTGAACAATAGTTAGGGGCTGGTAGACGGGTTGGTCAGTGGGTAAAGGCGCCCGCCACCACGCCTCATAACTTGAGTTCAGCCTCCAGGACCCACACGGTGGAAGCAGACAACTGACTCTCAAAATTGTCTCATGGCATCCACGTAAGCCCCAGAACATGTGCTACTAAACACACTCACAGATACAATACACACACAGACTCTGACAAGGATCACCTCCCTTCATAGGATTGCTGACTTCAGACTCTGCCTTCTATAAAGCACCATGGAAACACGTCCTCTCAGATCCAGCAGCCCACCCTACACCCCTAACCTAGCCTCCGAGTGTCCTCTCGTGAGCCACATTAGTAACTGTATCTAGACAACTGCTATAAACAGGAGCTGTCCCAGACAAAGCGGAGTAAATGGTCTTCTTTTAGTAGTTGGAATAATTTTCTTAGGAATATTGGCAAATTTAATAGATGGAAACTTAAAAACTACTTAGACCATTAACTATTTTTCCCAACAGCATAGTTGGTCACTGTCTCTGCTTGACTGCTGTGTGAAGAGGAATTTCCAAAGGGCAAGCTATTTTTGTTTTTTGTTTTTTTGTTTTGTTTTTGAGACAGGGTTTCTCTGTATAGTTGGGGCTGTCCTAGAACTCACAGATCCGCCTGCCTCTGGCTTCCAAGGGCTGGGATTTTAAGGCATGCACCACCACGCCCAGCTACCACGCCCAGCCAAGGTGTGCACTTTGCTTTCATCTCTCAAGCTGTGCTTCAATACTGAGCTTAGACTCAGAAGACACTACAGGAAAACCTTTTTTTCTTTTTTGCTCATCTTCTAGAGGAGGCCTACAGAGGTACCAAACAGTGGACTCTAAGCCTCCCCTACTTGGGTGGTAAAAGTCTTACCAGGAACAGTCAATAATAAAAAGAAATAAAAACTGGTCAATGGGTAGACATCACTGGAGATTTCCATCTCCCTTCTCCAGAGGAATGACAACAGTTAGCAGGAGGTCACTCTGCAGCTCTCCAGGAACCTGGCACCACCAGGTCTAAATTTTTGTACAGGATGTTTTTGCAGTGGTCACCCATATGCATACACATATTACTACCACATAGCAACTCTAAGCATCCAAAAACAGACTTCATGTTCCCACTGTTCTGGAGCTTGAGACCTCAATGAACAGAACACATGGGACTTGTTTTGGCCTTGGTTCTCTCCTCCTGGCTAATCTCCCTGCATACCTCTTACAACACCTTCTGCAGAGGGTCCCTCACACATCTCCTCGGAGAACCTTCCAACCTCACTTCACCTTACTAAGGTGTGTTTAGCCCACAGACCACATGCATCCCAGGATAGCTAGGAATGCAACCTAACACATTTGTATATGACCTGTCATGTCACAATATCAGAAGGCTGGACTAAGGCAGGCTATTTTTTCATTAACTCCGACTCCTCTCACACTACAAAATCTGCTGCTTCATCTACCTTCTCCAAGGCCAAGCTTCCGCAGGTAACTGGACCGCTTCTTCATTTGCACTGGAGACAGTTTCAGTAACTGTGGACTTTTCTTCAAAGCCATAAATAAAGGTTCTGGGTGCAATCCCAAGAGTAGAAATTCTGAAATTATGTCCAGCAGCTGTTGAGGATAGATGCTTGGCTGTATACTGAGCAAGCTGTTAATATGGGCTTCATCAAAACCCATGTCCTGGAGGGAACTGATGACGTTTGCAAGCAACGTGAACTTAGGATCCACAAAAGTCTTCTGCTCCTCATGAAGACACTGAACAAGATGTGTCCTGTACTCTGGTTCCTGCACATATGTTTTGGGTCTAACACAGGAGGACTCTTGGAAGTTCTCTCCACTGGGTACTGTAGTCAGTTTGCAAAACAAAGAAGGACTCATCCTTTTACAGTCTCTGAGATGAGGGGTCTGCCTGGCCAAACAGGTCCAGGAGCGGGTCATTAGTCGGTGCCAGTCAGGAACCTGTAAGACAGAGCCAAAACAGAATCAGTTCCACCTCGGGATAACAACCACCACAAGATCACGGAGCGCGAGTATTTTGGACCTTGGCCCATAAAAGCTAACAGTTTTTGTAAACAATCTGTAAAACCCCTGGGCCTTGTAAGACTTTAAGACAATCCTGAAGCCATTTTTGACAATTCTGAATCCTCTCAGCCTCTGTGCCATAGTGCTTCCCCTCCTCCCCTGGGAACCAAGGACCTAACAGCTACACTCGCACGTACTCAGTTCCTGAACAATTACCCATATACGTATGTTTTGGTTCGGTCCCCTGGGAAACGGGGTCAAAATGACCTCTTACCTCATCTGATCTGGCAACAGCTCTCCAGTCAATTATTGGTAATAGCCTTTTCAAATAAGCCAATCAGAATAGTCAAAGAACAACCCCACTTGCTTCTGTGGCCCCTTTAAAAGTAGACCGTACCAACTATTCAAGGTATCTCGGCTTCCCGAATGCTGGGGACCCTGTCATGACAGAATTAATAAAATCCTCATGCTTTTGCATCGGCTGTGGTATATGAGGTGGTCTCTGGGGGTGACTCCTTCTCAGTGTTTGGACGCTGGAGTCCAACAGCCTAAAAGGTCTCCAGAGAAGGAAATTAACATATAGACGACAGCACTTCCAGAAGATATAGGAGCCGGGCACAGCCAATACTGTGAGCTTTATGGAGGACTCCTAGTCATTAATATTTGGCTGAAAATTCTGAACCGCAGACAACCCACCAGATAGGTGCACTATCTAAACTTATTCCAACAAAGGATAATTGTTTCGATGCTACCTTTCATTAAAGGAAAAATATTCCTAGACAGGAGTCTGTCAATTCTCGGTGTCTGGGACTAACTAACACATAACAAATTAGGCATCCGATGCCCGCCAGACTGGTCTCCAAAACCTCTCTAGCACGACCAGCCTCCCCTCTCTCAGCCTTGGTCTCCAAAGCCCATAGCCGCCACATTAGCCGAAACTCCATAGAAGCCAGTGGCTCATGTCAGGACCAGGCTGTCTATGCACACACCACCCGGGAGCGCTATTGCCACAAAGCGGCCGGATGTGGTCACAAATAACCTGCGGCAGGGCCTCCTGCACGTCCCGCCCGCAGCTGCTGTGATCCCCGGACCTATGGCAATCTCACCCGCCGTCCTAGAGCAGCCATGGAGCCCCAGCGACAAACGTTAACTGGATCGCCGGAAGGGGCGGTCCTTCCTGGCCCACAATGTCCGTCCTCTGGTCTGTGTCCGCCGCAATCCTGGGAGCCAGCGTTCCTCTGTTCCGTGGCCAAGCTTTTAATCCCCTGGGCTCTTTCCCCGCGCCGCCGCATGCAGATGCAGCTTCCCTCAGCTGTGTTCTGCCAGGAACAAGCAAGACCACAGGGGTTTCTCAACTGCCCTTCAAAGTACTGGAGAAGCTAAACTCACACCATTATTTCCTGTCGTAAACCACACTTACAGGCGCACAGGGGAGACGGGACACAAAAACGAAGCAGGTGTTCAAAATTCTATAAGCCCTAGTGCATGAACTGGTTTTTTTGGAGCCCATTCCCTATGGAGAGATACCTTGCTCAGCCTCGATTCAGGTAGGAGGGGCTTGGTCCTGCCTCAACTTGATATGTCAGACTTCGTTGACTCCCTATGGGAAACCTCACCCTTTCTGAGGAGTGGAGTGGGTGGGAAGTTGGGTGAAGGGAAGACTGGGGAACTGTGGTTGATATGTAAAATGTAAAAAAAAAAAAAAAAACTTAAGTAAAATTTCTAAAAAGATTCTATAAGGCCAAATAACCTAACTGTAATTGTGGAGTTAGGATGTCGCAGACCAGAATCAAATTATCATGGATTATCTTTTAGCCTTTTTGAAATTCATTCACTGTCCAACTGTCCAACTAAACAGTTTTGTGATTATGAAGGCCTTTAAAATATATTCTTAGACCACCACTGGTTCTCACCAATCCAAAAGCTAATCATATAATTAGTTAACACCTAAAATACTGTAGGTAAATGTCTTTGCAGTCACCTTCCTATCTCTATCCCCATCAATGTGTCCGGTAAATGCCTTGATTATGACTTTGTTCTGTAGCTAATAATATCTCACCTAACTACACCCACCGTGGAATCTCTTTTGGAGCAACCAAAATTCATGCTCCCGGGCTTTTTGGTTTTGGTGGACACTGTAATAACTTCTCAGGACAGCTCCAAATTCTTCCTGAAATGGTAAGCTGGATCCAAACCTAGATAAAGGTATTTAGTAAATTGTATTGTTTAAAAATGCGTGTTTAGGGTCAGCAAGATGGCTCAGCAATTAAGATACTTGCCACACCAGTCTGATGACCCGAGTTTGATCCTAGAAACCCATGTAAAAGTGTAAAAGAACAAACTCACTCCACAAATGTCTACCTTCACACACACACACACACGACACACATGCCCATATAAGTTTTTGTTTTTTAACTGTGTTCAACGTGAATACCTGGCCACACACACAAAAAGAAGCCAGTCTTTAGAGACTGAAGAGATAGCTCAGCAATTAGCAGCACAAGCATAAGGATTTCAGTACAGATCCCAATACCCACATAAAAATCCAGGTGTGACCCCATGCATGCCTTTAATCCCAACACGGAGAGGGAAGGACACAGGAGGATCAACGGGACTTACTGAGTGACAGTCTAGCCAAAAAGAAATGTGGGTCCAGGTGCAGGGAGAGACCCAGCCTCAAAGTTACAGAGGACACCCCACTGTAACAACCCAGTATGTAATATACATATAAACTCACATAGGTACACACAGAGAAAGATGTCTGCCATTAAAAAAAATACATGGCCCAAGTAATAAAATGATAGGAACAATGGCACTTTTTCACTTATAAACAACAGAGCTCTCTTAGCACAGAGGTCTGATTTCCCATAAAGATGAGGCACTAGAATGTTCCAATACAAATTTGTATGCATTAAATTTGCATCTTAGACCTGTTTGGGCAAAAAGCCTGGGAACCTTTTAGAAGGAGAGAACAGTAAAAGATAAAAAGCTGTGTTCTCACAGCTGCCTAAATTCCACCACTCGTAAGTCATTATTATATTTATTTCTTCCTGGTTTATTGGCTTTTTGTGTGAAAAAAGGGATCAGGCTGATACATCAATAAACATTCCTACTTTGTGCTAGACACTGACCTAGGGCTGAAGTATTTAAACATATATTTTGACAGAAGGGTTGGGTTGTATAAAAGGACAGGAAAGTTGCAATCTGCGTAAAACTTTTTGTCTTAATTTCTAACTAAATAAACATCATTTAGGCCTTCACACTGAAAGCCTAAGAAAACCCTATGCCACTCCAACTTCTTGAAAATAATCTAGGAACCAGTCAGCCAGCACTGGAACAAAGTGATGGCTAGAACACAGGGCTGCTGTCAAAGTCTGGCAGGATCTTTAGTCTTCACAAAACTTTGCATCTTGAATCAAACTTGAAATTCCAAGAGGGAAAATTATCAGCTGCCAACTCAGAACCTTAGTCTCCAAGGTTTTGAGAGCTTTTGTATTGTTTGGTTTTGTTTTCCTGCAAAGAACACCCATAAGACATCAGACTATAACCAAAAGCTTTATTTTTTTTCTAATGTAGAAATGGTTCTTAGAAAGCTGCATTTTGCATCCTCTGCCCTACTACACTGTCAGAAAAAAAAAAAATCTGTAATATCTTGTGCTCTATGTGTAATAAAGACTACAAGGAAAAACATTTGTTTCATTCTAAGAAACAGCTCATCTGAAATCAAAAGCTAAAATGTCACCAGCTTCTGGAGACTGGGCCTGGAAACCCTCAGTCACAGTCGAGTTGACATCCTTCACCGAGAGCCTTTCACACAGACGAAGCCGAGCTGGGCCAGACACGGGATGTCTGAAAGTGCTGGGAGGGTACTATGGGTTGACAGATGGCTGACAGACCTAAAGTCCCAGAGTAAACCAGGATAGATTGCTCTTTTAGCTGTGCTAAGTGGGGTACAGAAATGGAAAAACGAAGAAAACCAGTACTTCTCATGTCCCATAGAGTCCTAGCCAGGGTAACTTAACTAATTAAGTGGCTTTAATTTGGAAAAAGTTCAAGAAAGAAAATATTCTGGTCATTTTTGTCTAGCCAACTCTATGGACTCTACACCATTATCACAGATACCAAGTCAGTGGGAAAGACACACACACACTCTCAGATAGAAAGAGCTGGGCATGGTGTCACACATCTTTAATTCTATCACGCAGGAGGCAGGCAGATCTCTATGACTTCAAGGCCAGCCACAGTTAAGTGGTAAGATCCTGTCTCACAAGCTTACAAACAAAGAACAAAACAACAAAACAGAGAATTGAAATATTCCTCATGTCTTTCTGAGGCTCACAAGTTAAAGTCCTTTAATAATACAAAGCAACTGAACACTAGAATGCTTTTTTTCAAGGTTATAAAAAAATGAATTACAAGTCTTTCATAAACCTAAAACCTAAATACTATATATATATATATAGTATTGCAAGCTTGTTTTAGCACTTGCACAGAAATCTGTAGAAGGGGAATTCATCCCAGTTCTTCAGGATTTCTTTCTCCTCGTAGGAAGCCCTGAAATCCATACAATTTCCCAAATCAAGTAGAAAATAGCAGGAGAGAGCTTTCATTCAGCTGACTGACAGAGATGGATCCTCGGGATGCAGGCAGTGCTCATCACCAGGAGCCTCCCTGGGAGCAGGAGGGCCACTGAAATCCTTTGTGTGAGTCACTTCACTTGGACTCCTGCTCCTAAGCTCCAAACTTGCAGCTGACAACAGGCCAGTTTCTAAAGGGTGAAGAAAACATAACAATACGATTCTAAAATACTTTGTTTAGGAACAACAGAATTGGGGGAGGGTAGGCAGTGGATTCTGAAACCACAGGGTGATATTCTAGAGGTACAGATCCTGCTGAGATACTGTGTGTGAGTGCGCACACATGCACGCGATAATCTCCAGCCTGGTTCCTCAGGAGCTCTGACTTGGAGCTAGGGAGTCTTTTTCTGAAGAGACATGATGCCCCGTCTAGCCCCTCAGCATCATGGTCAGCATCTGTACCCTGACCCCTCTTGGGACTAGTCAACCAGCTCACTCTTCAACTACTACATTCTCATCTCTCCCAGCCAAAGTTACTAAAAGAACTTATCCTCCCTCTAAGGTCCATAGCCACACCCAAGTGGCACCTAAGGGTCTCTACACAGTCAAGCCCCATTTTTCAGACCAGCCACAGATTCTGGTATATGTATCTAGGACAGTGTGGTAGAAGAAGCCTTATCCTGGAAGGAGGCCTAGTCACCTTCCCATCCCAAACAAAAGACACAGGAAAGGGCGGGAGGAGGGGAGGCTGAGACTTCTCACCTGGCTGGTTGGTCCGACACACCTCTTCCCAGGTGTAGTTAGCAAGGTTCACAGGCTGTGTCACCCAGGGGTCTAGGATCAGCTCCTCTAAGGTGGTCCGCTGCTCAGGGGAAGGCTGCAGCAGCCCAGACAGAAGAGTCATAAGTTCTAAGGACATAAAGAACACAGGTGGAACCAAGCCAAGTCAAATGGAACGCATCTCAGACTTCAGGGTGTCCTGCTTCATGGAACCTCTCACAAAGCAAGGAAGCAGCCTGGAGTCCTAGGGCTTGAGGGCCTGCCCTGGTATTGTCAGAGAATACCTTTATAAATCTATCACCTCCAAAATGGAAGCGTGGAAGTTGAGATCCAGCTCAATCAAACCTCAGGTAGTCTGATTTCAAGGTGTGCTGGCTAGTTTTATGTCAACTTGACATAAACAAAATTTATTTGGACCAGACAATGGTAGTGCACACCCTTAATCCCGGCACTCGGGAGGCAGATGCTGGCAGATCTCGGAGTTTGAGGCCAGCCTATATAGTTCCAGAACAGGCTCCAATGCAACACAGACAAACCCTATCTCGAACCCTCCACCCCACCCCCACAACAACAACAAAGAGTTAACTGGGAAGAAAGAACTGCGAATGAGAAAATGCCACCACCAGATTGGCTTGTGGGACATTTTCTTGAT